TTTTGTAGCCAGACTATGGGCACCCAGTGCTGTTGGCTGTAAGGACTGGGAGCCACCACTTATTCTTGGACCCCTGTCACTTGTGGCTAGGTAGTGTGGGTGCAGCCACCAGTTCTAAGGCCTGTGATGTGAGTAGGTTAGGACCCTGCTTAATGGGCAGAGTGGTGTCAAATCGAACCTGCCACTCCACCATGTAGCTGATACAGTGAAGTTAGGCTTCAAGTGTATAGCCTGTTGTGCTGTGCTAACGAGGGTCCACACTGCTGAAATTGGCCCACACAGGTCTATGCAGTGGCAAAAGGCATTCAAAGTCCGTGGATCCCTTATGCCTGTGCCTAGGCAAAGGAGCTGTGCCTGCCCTGAGTTCCCAGCTTAGGGGAGCTGGCAGATTATTTTTTCCTATTTGTTAATTTGTTCCCTCTGCAAGGCTGGGAAAATGGCTCTGGGTGTGTGATGGGTCCTACTTCCAGCCCAGGGATGCGACAATCACTGAAGCCAGCCCAGGACCCAGTGCAGAGCGGGCAGGGAGCAGGTAAATGAGAGAGAGGTTCTTCCCAAACGGGGTGTTAAATGGGGTGTACTTATCTTTTGCTGATTGAGCGCCACTTTTCACTGGCTCTGGAGGCCTGAGCAGACTCTCTGCTGCTTGGACGTGGAAAAAGCGTCCTGAACACCACTGCCCGCCTTACCACACATACCAGCTGATCTGGCCCACAGGGCATCGGCTCCTGCTGGGCCAGGTCTGGCAACTCCTCGCTGCTTCTGAACTGTCTCTCCCTCCCCCTGCCTCTCAGTCCGATTCCTCAACTTTGCCTTTGATGTTCAGGGCTCCTAGATTGTCATATATTATCGATTCACTTGTTTTTTCTGTTCTTTTTTGTAAGAGGGACCATTGGAAGTGTCTGACTACTCCACCATCTTTGCCTGCCTCCTTTTGAGCCTCTTTTGAGGTGTGAATATAATGCTGGATTTTCCTCACTGCACATTTCTATTAATTCATTCCTTTACCTTCAGCTACTAGTCCTCCTTCTCTCCATGTATATCCAAACTTTTCCCCCTTTGGAAGGAACATTAAGTTTGGCCACAGTGCTGGTCCAGATTGCCAGCAGCAATACCAGTCTAGCCAGTGCCTCTCCTCCATCCACTTCCATTCACACAGGGTAGGGTCACATAGGTGCAGAACTAGTGGGCCATCTCAACCACTAGGCAATATAGCTGCACTCACTATTAGCCCCAATTTTTTAAGTTGGGGTGAAGGCACAACCTCCCCATCATGCCCTTAGGAATTCTGACAAGGCTTAAAGGTATAGTTACAGTTTCTTGTTTAGGAAACATCCCTGCTTCTGTTACTTGTAGTTGCAGCCCCGGTCCTGGGACCCCACATCAGGTAGGAAAAAAAAAAAGTTGAGGTGATGTGAGAAGAAAGAAAAAAGTATAGTGATACCACCATCTGCCCCCCAACTCTGCCATGGGAAGAATTGTGTTATGGATTGAATTGTGTCCTCCAAAAAGATGTTAAATTCCTAAACCCTGTACCTGTGAATGTGACCTTGTTTGGGGGAAATAATGTTTTCCTTTGCAGATGTTATTGGTTAAGTGAGTCCTAATCTTAATCCCTTTGGAGTGGTGTCTTGTAAAGGAGGATGACAGACACAGTAACAAAGTCACACACAGAGGAAGACAGCATGTGAGGATCCATCTACAAGCCCAGGATTGCTGGCAGCTGCCAGAAAGTAGGAGAGAGGCATAGAACAGTTCCTTTCTCAAAGCCTCTGGAAGGAATCAACGGGGCTGAAACTCTGAATTGATTTTCTAGCCCCCAGAACTGTGAGAAAATAAACTTCTTTTCTTTAAAGCCGTCCACTTTGTGGTACTTTGTTATGGCAGCCCTAGGAGACTAAGACAGATTTCACAGTCATACCAGCATCCTCTCCCACCTGCTCATCCCAGATCTCCCAGAAAAGTGAAGGAACCTATCCAGTGGGGACACCCTCTTGGCTCCCCTCATGTTGAGTGTGAGCACACGCTTGTGAAGGCATGTAAGACAGCCCTTCATGCCTCTAACCTCCCCCTATTTTAGACAAGAAATGTTTCAATTGCTCATTCCAATGGTTCAACCATTACTATTGTTAAAAAAATAAAATAAAGCACAAAGAAGTTAAAAGATAGGGTTTATTTGAGCAGTTATTCTATATCCATATAGAAAGAACATTCTGGTTCTCAAAAAAATAAAAGAAAAAACAAAACAAATGGCTCAACATAGGCTAGTTACAATGAAGCTTTTAAAAAGAAGAGGAAGGAGTAATACAGGAAATCAACCTTTGGCTAATCTTAACATGACTGATTGAACCACGCTCCCCCACGTCCTTTACAGAGACCAGCTGGCATCAGGTTTCTAGGTGATCTCAAGCCTGGCTGCCCCTCTCCCCATTAATTTGCACAAATCTTTAAGTGTAGTTTTTTGGTTTTTTGGCTTACTGAACACAAGTTTCCACGGTGACAAAGTACTTGTTATTGATTTAGCATTAAAAATTGACTCTGCAAACTCTGGTGTCTTAGTTATCTAGTGCCGCTATAACAGAAATACCACAAGTAGGTGATTTTAACAAACAGAAATTTATTTTCTCATAGTTTAGGAGGCTAGAAGTCCGAATTTAGGGCACCAGTTCTATGGGAAGCCTTTCTCTGTGCTGGCACTTGGGGAAGGTCTTTGTCTCTTTTCAGCTTCTGTTCCTAGGTTCCTTGGTGATTTTCACGTGGCTTTGCATCTATCTCCCACCATCTGTGCTTGCTTCTGTGCCTTACCTACTCTTTTAATATCTTAAAAAGTGTGTGGCTTAAGACATACCTGACAGTCACATTGCCCTGTTCCCAAATGGGATTACATTCACAGGTGTAAGCGTGGGGACTTACAATACATAATTCTGGGGGGACATAATTCAATCCATAACATCTGGGTATTTACATATTTGTAGCTGTGAGAGCTCTTGCAGTTCAGTTTCAGGAAGCACACAGTCTTTTTTATTAAATCATGAGGTAATGGGTTTTTTACTGTCTCAACTGGTAAAAAGCAAACAAGCTAACAATGCTGTAAACTAGATTAGCAGTTTTAGGTGATAAACAAGTTAACAAGGCTGCAGGCAAGACCCGTTTGGGTTGGGGTTTTATAAGCTCGTAGGTAAGGGAAACCCCTTGAAATCAAAGTAAAAAGAGATGACCTTCGACCCAAGTGAGAGGGAGTCTTACCTTCCTCGTTTTCCACCGGGCCTATCACCTGCTCCTTTGGCTTATGAAGCTCTGACTTGAGGTAAAAGAGAATGTCACATGCCTGGCCCTTGTTGGAGCCTCTGAACTCAAACCATCCATTCAAAAAAATCTGAACAACAGCCAGATACGGGCAGCCGAAGGAGCCAACATGGGGTGCGCTGAAGCCAGGGCTCAGGGCCACACCCCAGGTGCACACCACGCCAGCCAGTGGCCCGTGAGCACTGTTCTCCCTCTCATCCCAATGTCCTTTTGTTAAATAAGTCTGGGGTAAGAAGGATCCACCTAAAGGTGGTGGTGAGATTATCAGAGAAAAGGCCTGAAAGGAGTTCCATAGTGCAGCTGTCCCAGGTTCCTGGAAAGGATAATGTGCAGGGATCCCTCTCACTCTCTCTCCCAGGGTGTCGGAGCCAAGCAGCAGCACATCCAGTGCACCCCGAAGGCTGGGCTCCTCCCAGCACCCCGGATCCCCCTTTGGCCTTCTGCCTGCAGTGCTCATCACAGCTGTGCTGGAAGCTCTGAGGGGGAGGAGATCGGGGACACCGTGCCCAGCAGTGCCTGTCCATTAGCGTTTCCACCCCTCGGGAGTAAAACAATAAATGTGAAGACTCTGCAGGGAGGGGTGTGTTTGTGTGTTTAAGTGTCTTTGGTTCAGGACTGAGTCTTTCTTATTTGGGGTTATTAAAATATCTAGTATTCTACAGAATGATGTTGACACTAAAAGATGATAAAACCTGTAAAAAAACCAAACTCATTGCCCTTAAGTCGATTCAGACTCACACCCACTCTATAGGACAGAGCAGAAATGCCCCATAGAGTTTCCAAGGAGTGGCTGGTGGATTCGAACTGCCAACTTTTTGGTCAGCAACTTAACTCTTAACCACTGTGCCACCAGAGCTCCAAAAACAGTGACATTCTTTATTAAAAAATCCTTCTTAGAAAAAGAATATCCTCTGTATGCCAGATCCGTTGATGTTTTTATATTCTACATCTCTTACATAAAGCTCTAATCGAGGAAGGTCTTTTAAATTGCAGCCCCAGGCACAGGGCTGGTGGGAGGAGACATCCATAGGTAAGACCCTTGCAGAGCACAGCTTCCCAGGGAATGCGGAGAAGGTGCTTTCAGTCCTGGCTTGCCCAACCTGTATTTGGATCGCTGTCTTCTCCAACCAGTCACACATGCACATGTATACTTTCAGACTTTGTTTCTTCACAGAAGTCTAAGGCCTCTTGTGGGAAGCAGTAGACATACACCACTGTCTGTTTAGTCTCTAGGAGACTTGATTAGGGTCAGGCCCAGGAGTCTGACTGATTCAGTATTCATGTGAAATCTATCACCTGGCTGACAACAGACCCTGGGCTATGGGAATCTGTGATAGCCCCTCATGACCAGCCTCCCCTCCCCACCCCCCCGACTTCTCTCTTCAAGTGAAGTGGTCAAGTTTCCGGGGCCAGCTCTAGGTCCCCTCCACTCCCTCATCTATTCACCCAGGCAACTGCAACTGAGCTGCCTGGACTCAGAGCCCTGCCCTGCTATTGTGCCTGCTTGGTGACCTAACCTCCCCGGCCTGCGGTCACTTGGACAATGGCAGCAGAGCATCCTTGGCTCACGTTTGGCCATGCCAGCTCTCACCTCCTTGTTGCCTTCTAGAGACCAGTAGGACAGGAAGCACCTCATAAAGGAACTGCCTACAACCTTATGTCCACATCCTGAAGACAGTGAACAAGTCGAGAAGTAGCTGATGTTACTTTTTATTGAATACAGTAAGAGCAGAACAGGTGCACCATGGGCTGGGTGCATTTGAAAAGCAATGAAAAGGAGCAGGGTTAGAGCCACTGAGCTGCTCCAAAGACACCGAGAAACTTTGTCGTTCTCCTGGGGCTGGCACTCGAAGGAGGGCAGGGTGGGACCACCAACCTAAGGGCTAAGATGCCCAAGAGGAGTGACAGTGCTCTAAAGGGGCAGGGTAAGAGCCGTCAGCGCTGCCACCTGCTATGCAGCCCTCTATGCGTCTTGGCAGCTAGATTTTGTCATGGAGGTTGTGCCCAGCCAAGGAACAGTATATATCTGGAAAGAGCAGAGGGCTTTCTGTGAAGGGAAGAGAGAGGGGCCGTCAGTGAGGGCTATGGTTAAAGGGAAAAAGTCCCAGCCATTAGATGTAGAAGTGCAGGGTGAGGAATAATAGTAGTGAGACACTTGGCCCCCTCCACCTCTGGGTCCCAGAACACTCTGGAACATCCCCTCCCACCAGCCCTCCCATCGCTCTAAGTACAGGAGCAGTCCCTGTGCTTTTGAGGAATTCCCCCAGCTCTGCCACAGCACAGCCCTGTAAGAGCAGCCCATGGGAGTCCACAGGGGGGCGTTTCTGCAGTCTAGGGGTGCAGGGCGGGGAAAGCGTTCCCTCCACCTCCAGCGCCTGGGCCTGTCCTATATAGGTCCAGAAGCAAGAACCCAGGGGATGGAGACCTGAGTCCAAAAAACAACCCGGGAAAAAGGAAGGGCGTGGGAGAGGCTGACAAGAGGGAGTACAGCTCTTCCCAAGGTTATGACCTCACAGGGACCATCCAAAGCCTGTGAGAGAGGCTGGCATTTATTAAGTGAGCAAGGGTAGAGCCACAGGGCTTAGGCTGCTCACAGGCCTCCAAATACCCACTGATCTGCTCAGCATGGCTGAAGGCAGTGTGAGCCAAGTGTGGGATTAAGCACAGCCCTTCCTCCCTCTGCAGGAGCCACCCCAGCAGCTGTCACCTCCTGTCCAGCAGGAACACCCCAAATGCATGCAGTGCTTTCTTAACAGTGCTCCAATTCCCAAACTAGAGCCCTTCCCTTTTGAATTCAATCAAACACCCACAGCATCCACACACAGGCACATTCCCCCCACACCTGTAGGCATCCCACCCATGTGCACCCACACCCACATACCTGCACCCTCCCACACGCACAGGTACACACACACACCTATATGTATCACATGTGCAAACACACACCTGTATGCACCCATGTACACACACATGCACCCCACACCCCTCTCCTGTGCATGACTTGCCCCTGGCCCCACATCAGGCACATACCTTCTTCAGGTGTGGCTGGTCATGGAAGGGACAGGTGGCCAAGTTGGGCTGGGACTTGGTACATACGGTTCGTCCAATCTCCACATCCAAGAAGTAGTTCACCCCAGACACGATCTGTGCACGCAGGAGAGCGGGGTTTGTTTCCGGCATCACATGTCAATCTTATCCAAACGGTTTTCTTACTGCTACTGAGTCGCTACTGAGGTGTCAGAACTGCATGCTCCTTAAGGCCTTTGGGCCAGCTTTCATGCACTGCCAGAACTGTCGGCATGAAGTACACAAGCCACCCTCCTCCTGACTCTTGGTGACATGGCTGCCACCTCTGTCCCCCAAGTAATTAGTCTAGGGAGAAACTTGTGCAGCTTTAACAAGGGGTCTCATGCAGCCAAGCTGAAACATGGATCCATTAACCGGATTTGAGAATGGAAGGCACGGCCCTCAGTGGGCAGCTGGGTACAGGTAAACAAACACTCCCAGGAGCCTGCAGGATAAGGGTTAAAGCACACAGTGGCCCTCGTGCTACCAGCAAAGGCATGGTTAAGTTCTGCTAATGCTGGCTAAGGAGGCAGAGACACTGGGTCTATGTTAGGAAGACTGCCACCAGTGAGATGGATTGACACAGTGGATGCAACAATGGGCTCAGACATAGCAACCACTGTGAGGACAGCGTAGGATCGGGCAGTGTTTCGTTCTGTTGTACACTGGGTTGCTATGAGTCGGAACTGACTTGACAGCACCTAACGACAACAGCCATTTCAGCTAACTTCCAGTTACCGGCGTTTTGGCGAGAACCTCACTCCTCTGTTTAGCAACGATTTACTTATTCCCTCACTGAACATTAGGAAATTAGATGCTTCACACACATTAAGTTTTTAGGCTGATAAAGACTGCCCCTCAAGTACCTCCATTTTAAATGTTACTTTTAATGGAAATCTTTCTGAAGTATTTTACACACCTGCCTGTCTTTTACATTTGAGATTACAGTGCACAATTGAATCCTCTCCTCATTAACAGGACACCCCACAGACAAGCATGGTCTGAACTGTGGAGGAGCACAGGACCAGGAATCCAGGGACCAAGGTGCTAGGCACTGGTCACGTGACCTCCCACACTGCCGACCTCCCCCCCACCCCGCCGACCTACTCCCCACATGTCAGTTTTCCCATCTCCAAATGAGGCATAGTCAGGTCTGATGATCTATAACGCCCGGACTTAACCCCAAGTTAGCGCCATATTCAGGGGGCAGGTCAGTGGGGACCGTCTAGTCCAAAGAGGACAGCGCCAGCCCATTGTTGCAGGGCCTAATCCTACCCCCTCGTCTCAATTTTCAACGTTAAGTGCCAGCATCCCATGCAATATGTTTGCTGCTGTGTTGCTGTGCCCGGCCCTGCAAACAGGATGAAGGCCTTCGGGTCTGAATTCTAGCTTCCCTTCAAGGACAAGCTCAAGTCCCAGAAGCCCTTCCTCTATGCTCCCCTCCCAACCCCCCTCATCTCGTCACAGGCGTCACTACATAGCAAGCAGCAGAAGCTGTGGTCAGTCCTATCTGACCCCGTGGCACCTAACTCCGAAGGCTGGTGGCGGTGGCGTGCTCGGGTCAGGGTGGGGGAATGTGCTTCAGAGACTCCCCCAAGCTCCTCCCAGCTCACATGCAGGGAAGTATGTTCCAGAGACCTTTCTTCTGGAATCTCTAGAACAAGTTTGGATTCTTATGCAAGACCCCAGGCTCTGGAATCAACTCAGTGGTTTTGGTTAGGAACTCTGGGTGATCAGGAGCACAGTGATTGGCCGAGCCTCAGGAGGAAGATTGCTAGAGGTGGCCAGGTTCCCACTGCACAGATGAGAAAATGGAGGCCTGGTTAGTTTTGGTGGCACAGCTGAGAACATGCACCTAAGAGGAGACACACCTAATCTGTGCACAAGTTATGACCGGAATCTAATCATGAAGAAACATCAGACCAGCCCAAACTGAGCAACACTTTATAAAACAACTGGCTTGATTCTTCAAAAATACCAAGATCACGAGGCAAAGGCTCAGAAACTGTTTCATATTAAAGGAGGCTGAAGAGACAGGCTCAATGCATTCATGATGGGGGTGTCTTTGGCTGTAAAAGTGTTAGTGGACAATTAGGGAAATCTGAATAAGGTCTGCACATTGGATGATGGTGTGTATCGGTGCTGACTTCCTGGTTTTCAGTATTGAGGTTATGTAAAAGAAGGCCCTTCTTTTTAGGACTCATACACTGCACGGTATGTGTCCTACAATACACATAGGTTCAGAAAAATAAACGTATATAGGTACAACACCCATGCACACACGTATGGGGAGAGAGGTGGGTAATGCAAGCATCAACACTTGAGGAATCCCAGTGAAAGAGCTGCAGAGATTCTTTGCACTATTTGTGCAACTGCTGTGCAAGCCCAAAATTAAAATCAAAGGAAAAAAATGCTTTAAGAAATCATTCAGTTGCAGAACTAGACTGGGCAGCTGGGTGTCTGGGCCTGTCTTCCCTTCTCCAAAGCACCCATTTCACAAGAGGCACTGGGGTCTGGCTAAGCAGGATTCAGACCCTGTCCCTGAAGCCAAGAAGCCTTGGGCTATGCTGATGCCTAAAACAGAAACAAAAGCACTCCAGGCAGGAGTGCCAGACCCAGTTTCCAAGGAGGGCAGTAGTCAGGCCAGGCCCAGTGACACCCTTCCAAAGACTGTAGGTCCACGAGCTGGGTGAGAAGCTGCGAGCAAGTCCAGAAGGGCTGCAGCCTCTAGCAGTCCAAACCCATGGGCGCAGGGCGCAGTTTCGGGATTTGGCCTGCAGGAAGCCTGGAGGATGGCAAAGAGTGGCCACACCAGGGGCGCTAGGGGAGGGGCAGGGCTCTGAAGAGAGGGACTCTTCTGAAGGGGGCAAGGCCTGGGAGAGGGCATGGTGAGAGGCCAAGGCCAGGGAGAGGGCACTGGGGGAGGGCTGGGACCTGGGGAGGAGGGGGCACTAGTCCAGGGTCCTGAGATCAGGGGATAAGAGCGCTGTGGAGTGGCCTGGGACCTGGGAGGAGCAGGAACTCAGGGAGGGGTCGAGCTGGGTGGGAGAGTAGTACTCCAGATCTGTTGGGCCTGGGACCCGGAGGGGAGGGACCCAAGGAGGATGGGGCATTCGGGGAGGGGCCAGGGCAGGACGCTAGAACAGTCAGGACTGGCTGCAGGCAGGTGGCCTTTGTGAGAATGTGGGCTGTACCCTCCGAATGGCCATGCTCTGGCCCAGCTCAGTCTGAGCGCCTGCTGGCGCTGTGCCCAGCACTCAAGACCCCTGGTCATCCGGGCCCAGTCCGGAGCTCAGGCCTGCTGGCCAGGGACCCACCTGCTGGCTGGCACACACAACCCACACCATGAGGCTGTGGAACTTGTTGTTGCTGGCCTTGTACTCGCTGATGGTGAAGTCCAGGGCACTCTGCGAGCCCTTCTAGTTCTCCACTGCGTCTGTGACACAGCCCTCAAGGTGGGGGAACTAGGCAGGGTTTGTGGCGCCCGCTGGGCACAGCATCCTGGCCAGGGCCAGCACGGCCAATATGAACAGCGGGGCCCTCAGGGACGCGTCCATGGGGCTGGAAGGGCGGCGTGGACGAGCAGAAGGACAGACTGACCAAGAGCACAGAGAACACGGAGACCAGCGCCTTAGTATTCTCCTCTCTGCCGCCACTGTGCTGTTATCTGCCAGGTCTTCTGGCTGGCAGCCCTCCACCTGCCTCTTCCTGGGTGGCCAGTCTCCCTGCCCTGCTCCATCTCTCCCCTCAGGCCTTCCTCCTCCTCCCTTCAGAGCTCCTCCTCCCCTCATCCTCTCTCCTGTCCTCACCTCCAGCTCCCCACCTTCTTCCTCTCCTGCTCCTCTCCTCCCCTCCTCCATTGCCTTCTCTCTGGCCTTCCTCCACTCCACCCCCCATTTTCCCCTCCTCCCCCCTTCTCCTCCTCTGCCTCTTCTCCCCTCCTTCCTCCTCTCCTCCCTTCTCTCCTCCATTTCCTTTCTCCTCCTCCTCCTCCCTGCTCCCCCTCACCTTTTCCCTGGCCCCTCTCCTAAGTCCCTGGTGCCCCCAGGCCTGGATCACCCTGAGTCACCCCTCTCAAGTGCCTGGCAAAGCTGTGTGACCTCTGAAGTCTGTCTCTTCTGAAGAGGAGAAAACAGCCATCCTGCGTCCTGGGTGGTCAGTGGTTCCTGGAGGTTAGTGTCAGCACCCTCCCAGTGTGGAGAAAGCGCTCGGTCACTGTCTAGTGATCCCCCGTTTCCGAGTCTCAGGAAGGCTTCTGTGCCCTGTTTAGAATTAGCCTTTATTTTTGAAAACATCACTGAGTTCTCTTTTTCTCAGCAGGTTTTGATTCATTTAATTATTTAATCAATAAACTGCTCCTTGGGCTTCTTCCCTGGGCCAGGTGGTCTAGGACCTGGGGATGGAGTTGGATAAGTGAGACATGAACCTGGCATTAGAGAGCTGTAGAGCAGTCCTAACAAACAGAGGTGTAGCTTGCAGCCTATGTGTAATTTTTAATTTTCTATTAGCCACGTTTTCTGTCAGTTTGTCATACTGTGGTGTCTTGTGTGTTGCTGTGATGCTAGAAGCCATGCCACCGGTATTCAAATACCAGTAGGGTCACCCATGGTAGACAGGTTTCAGCTGAGCTTCCAGATGAAGACAGGCTAGGAAGACAGACCTGGCGGTCTGCTTCTGAAAAGAATTAACCAGTGGAAAACCTTATGAATAGCAGTGGAACATTGTCTGATATAGTGCCAGAAGATGAGTGCCTTAGGTTGGAAGACACTCAAAATACCACTGGGTAAAAGCTTGCTCCTCAAAGTAGAGTCAACCTTAATGACGTGGATGGAGTCAAGCTTTTGGGACCTTCATTTACTGATGTGGCACAAATCAAAATGAGAAGAAACGGCTGCAAACATCCATTAACAATCAGAACCTGGAATGTATGAAGTATGTGTCAGGGATTGAATTGTGTCCCCCAAAAATATCTGTCAACTTGGCTGGGTCATGATTCCCAGTATTGTATGATTGTGTAATCTGATGTGATTTCCTTACATGTCATAAACTATCCCTATGATGAGGTTATATGTGATCTCCTTATGTGTTGTAAATTCTATCACTGTGATGAGGATATACTGATGAGGTTTACAAGATTAGACAGTGTCTTAATCCAATCTCTTTGAGATATAAAAGAGAGACGTGATCAGAGACACATGGGCACCTCATACCACCAAGAAAGCAGTACTGGGAGCAGAGCGCGTCCTTTGGACCTGAGGTTCCTGCGCAGAGAAGGTCCCAGACCAAAGGAAGACTGATGCATCACGAGGACCTTCCTCCAGAGCTGAGGGAGAAAGCATTCCCCTGGAGCTGACGCCCTGAATTTGGTCTTGTAGCCTACTGGACTGTGAGAGAATAAACTTCTTTTTGCTAAATCCATCCACTTGTGGTATTTCTGTTAGAGCAGCACTAGATGACTAAGGCACTATGAATCTACGAAAATTGGAAATCATCAAAAATGAAATGGATATTTAATAAACACCAATATCCTAGGCATTAAGGAGCTGAAATGGACTGGTATTGGTCATTTTGAATTGGACAATTGTATGATCTGTTACACTGGGAATGACAACTTGAAGAGGAATGGCGTGACATTCATCCTGAAAAAGAACATTTCCAGCTGTATCCTGAAGTAGTACACTATCAGTGATAGGATAATATCCATACACCTACAAGGAAGACCAGTTAATATGACTATTATGCAAATTTAGACACCAACCACTAAGGCCAAAGATGAAGAAATTGAAATTTTTACCAACTTCTGCAGTCTGAAATTGATTGAACATGCAATCAGGATGCATTGATAACTACTGGTGATTGGAATGCAAAAGTTGGAAGCAAAGAAGAAGGATCAGTAGTTGGAAAATACGGCCTTAGTGATAGAAATGATCCTGGAGATCACCTTATAGAATTTTGCAAGACAAACAACTTCTTCACTGCAAATACCTTTTTTCAACAACATAAAAGGTGACTACACACGTGGACCTTGCCAGATGGAATACACAGAAATCAAATAAACTACATCTGTGGCAAGAGATGATGAAAAATCTCAATATCATCAATCAGAACAAGGCCAGAGGCTGACTGTGGAACAGACCATCAATTGTTCATATGAAACTTCAAGTTGAAGCTGAAGAAAATTAGAAGAAGTCCATGAGAGTCAAGGTATGACCTTGAGGATATCCCACCTGAATTTAGAGACCATCTCAAGAATAAATTTAACTCATCGAACACTAATGACTGAAGAGCACACGAGTTGTGGGTTGACATCAAAGACATCATACATGAAGAAAGCAAGAGGTAATTAAAAAGACAGGAAAGAAAGAAAAGACAAAAATGGATGTCAGTAGAGAATCTGAAACTTGCTCTTGAATGTCAAGTAGCTAAAGCAAAAGGAAGAAATGATGAAGTAAAAGAGCTAAACAGAAGATTTCAAAGGACAGCTCTAGAAGACAAAAGTATTATAATGACATGTGCAAAGACCTGGAGTTAGAAAACCAAAAGGGAAGAACACACTCGGCATTTTTCAAGCTGAAAGAACTGTAGAAAAAATTGAAGCCTTGAGTTGTAGTATTGAAGGATTCTACAGGGAAAATATTAAATTACACAGAAAGGATCAAAAGAAGATGGAAGGAATACACAGAGTCACTATAACAAAAAGAATTGGTTCAACTATTTCAGGAAGTAGCATATGATCAGGAACCCATGGTCTGCTGAAGGCATTGGTGTAAAACAAGGCTCCAGGAATTGAAGGAATATCAATTGAGACGTTTCAACAAATGGATACAGTGCTGAAAGGGCTCAGTCATCTATACCAAGAAATTTGGAAGACAGTTACCTGGCCAACCCTCTGGAGTAGATACATACTCTCATGCCCATTCCAAAAAAAGGTGATCTAACAGAATGCAGAAATTATCAAATAATATCATTGATATCACACGCAAGTAAAATTTTGCTGAAGATCATTAAAAAGCGGTTGCAGCAGTATATTGACAGAGAACTGCCACAAATTCAAGCTGGGTTCAGAAGAGGACAGAGAAGGAGGGATATCATTGCTGATGTCAGATAGGTCCTGCCTAAAAGCAGAGAATGCCAGAAAGATGTTTACCTGTGCTTCATTGAATATGCAAAGGCATTCAACAGTGTGGATCATATCAAATTAGGGATAACATTGCAATGAAAGGGAGTTCCAGAAGACTTAGTTGAGGAACCTTAATGAGGAACCTGTACATAGATTAAGAAGCAGTTGTTCAAACAGAATATGGGGATACTGCATTGTTTAAAATCAGAAAAGTTGTGTGTCATGGTTGTTTCCTTTCACCATGCTTACTCAATCTGTATGCTGAGCAAATAATCTGAGAAGCTGGACTATATGATCAACAACAAGTCATCAGGATTGGAGGAAAACTCATTAAGAACTTGACTTATGCAGATGACACAACCTTGCTTGCTGAAAGTGAAGAAGACTTGAAGCACTTCCTGATGACGATCAAAGACTACAGCCTTCAATATGGATTACACCTCAACATAAAACAAAAATTCTCACAACTGGACCAATAAGCAACATGATAAATGAAGAAAAGATTGAATTTGTCAAGGATTTCATTTTACTTGGATCCACAATCAACACCCATGGAAGCAGCAGTCAGAAATCAAAAGACGCATTGCACTGGGCAAACCTGCTGCAAAAGACCTCTTTAAAGTGTTAAAAAGCAAAGAGGTCAATTTAAAGACTAAGGTTCACTTGACCCAAGACATGGTGTTGTCTATTGCCTCATATGCACGTGAAAGCTGGACAATGAGTAAGGAAGACTGGAGAAGAATCATTGCCTTTGAATTTTGGAGTTGTCAAGGAATATTGAATATATCATGGACTGCCAAAAGAATGAACAAATCTGTCTTGGGAGAAGTATAGCCAGGATGCTCCTTAGATGCAAGGATGCGAGACTTCGTCTCACATACTTTGGACATGTTGTCGGAGGGATCAGTGCCTGTAGAAGGACACCATGCTTGGCAAAGTAGAGGGTCAGCAAAAAAGAGGAATACCCTCTATGAGAAGGATTGGCACAGTGGCTGCAACAATGGGCTCAAGCATAACAATGATTGTGAAAATGACACAGGACTGGGCAGTGTTTTGTTCTGTTGCTATGAGTTGGAATGGACACTATGGCACCTAACAACTAACAACAAGTAGTCGTGTTGAAAAAAAATAAAATGAAAAGGGTCAGGTGATAGTAATTTTAATAATATATTTTATACCAATATAGCCAAGATATTATTATCTAAACATGTAATCTATATACAAACAATTATTAGTGAGATATTTTACATTCTTTTGTGTGTGTGTACTAAGTCTTTGGAACTTGGAGTGTGTTTTATACTTAGAGCAGGTGTTGATTTGGATTTCCCCATAGCCACAGTTGCCTGGTGGCTGTGGTATTGCACAGCCTGCCTTTAAGATGTGTGTGTGGGGTTGGGGGAGGCAATGATCAATAATTAAGATCAGGGAGTGATAGAT